CCCATCCACCACCCCTCTTACCTTACTTAGGACCAGTGAGCTTAAAAGTTAGCTGGCAATACTCTACCTAGTTAGCCAAAATGTAGTGCCTCCACCCTTGCTTTCTGAACGTCTGAACTTGGTTTTTCCTATAAAAAGCCTGCCCTGAGAACAGACTAGTACCACAATTAGGCTCCTTAGTCCTTTTGGTGGTTCTGATCAATCAGTCTTGGAGTGTGTGTGTTCAATAAGCTGTCCTTGCTTAACTGAGATTGGTGTTCCTACGGTTTGTGTGGTGATTCCTGAACCCTCAACACTGGCCAATGATACTGTTCCAATGCTCACTTCCTCTTCAGTGCTGTACTGAGGTGATGTGAGATGCAGACCTAAAGAGAACCTAGCATGATGGTTAGCTTTAATTGTCAACTTGACACAACCCAGACTCACTTGGAAAGAGAGTGTCAATAAGGGGTCGTCTATATTGGGTTGGTCTGTGGATATATCTAAGAGAGAGTGTCTTGATTGAGTCAACTGATGGAGGAAGAAGACCCAGCCCACCACAGATGACACCATATCCTAGAAAGGGAGTCCTGAGCTGAGAGTGAAGAAATTGAGCTGAGTATAAGCAAGCAAGAAAGTGAGGCATGTGTACACATTTCTTTCTGTTCTCGATTACAAATGTGGTAGACCAGCTGTCTGAAGCTCCTGCCCTGCAGGGATGGACCATAACCTGGAACCGTGGTCTAAAGCAAATCCTTTCTCCCCTAAGTTTCTCTTTTGTCAAAGTATTTTATCACAGAAACAGAAATTAAATGAGCAAAAATCTATACAGAGGAAGTGGCTTTGTTGCTGTAGTTGACTATATAGCTTTTATGCTTTGCACTGTTTTATAGGGAAAATGAGAGCATTTGACACATTGGGCTAGAAAAGCCACTGGATACTGGAAGCAGAGGAATGGGACATTTTAGTGGCAACTTGGAAGATAAAAATTCTGTAAGAAACATAGACAGTTGAGACCCAGATCAAGGGTTTTAGAGAATATCTAAGACTCTATCAGAAATGGGAGGCAGTCATTCTGTGTGGTATTTTGGCTAAGAACATGTGTGCTAATCCAACTGGGACTAAAAAAGCAGCTATGACTATCATAGAAATCAACACCACTGAAATGAGGTTCTTAGCTTCAATGGAACAAAGAAAAGTATTTCCTCAGGGTCAGCCCAAAGATCCTGACAGGTGTGATCCAAGAGGGGTAGGCCACATCCCAAACCGGCGGAAGATCCTGGAGATATAAGTGTCATCCACGTGGTACTGGTTACAAAAGCATAAAAGATAACAAGCTTTAGAACATCATGGAGAGGAGCTGAGGAGATGCTAAGACCATGTAATGCTGCTGGTATAGAGTTGAGCCACCCTAAAATGAGAAGCTGCATGTATTGCAAGTGTCAGAGCTGGATGGGTGGGGCTTCCTAAGTCCTTTGGAGCAAAAAAATCTATTAGGAGCTTCAGATACTGGACATTGGACCCACAAGATTTAGAATGCGCCCTGCTAGATTTTGAGTTTATTTGTATCTAGTTGTATAGCAAGACCCAAGACTTTTGTAGACCCCAAGAACTTCATACAACTGATGCCATATTAGAGACACCATTCTGACCTTAGAACCTAGCATGTAGGCTCCAACACCTGACAAAATGGGAACAAAGACCTAGTCCATAGTTCAAGGATCTGGGAAAGTCCCTAAATGTACCAACCTTGCTTTTTGGCTCCTGTAGTTTTGCTTCTCCCTAACTGTTCTTCCTAACCAGTGTGTCAACCAGGATGTGGGTTTTGTGCATAAACAACAAAGAATAGCAAGACTTGGGGGCTACACATGTTGGGCAAGTTCCCCTTGTATTCCTCCAGCTGGCAAATAAAGACTTTCCGTTGGCTTTAGGAGTTTGTATTCTTTAAAGGAGTTGCCTCATGACATTCTGGAGACCCGAGCAAGATTCCCAGAGACACTAGGGCCTCATATCCCCTGGGATGACTGCACAAAGGATTGGCATTTCCTAGGGAGTGTGCACCCTGAGACGTTCCAGAACCCGATGAATTTCTCCCACCTCTGTTCCAGATATCTCCACCCTAAACAGGAAGCTACAGAAAGTCACCTGGATCTGTCCTCTCTGGAAATGAGTCTGTTTATGACACCTGCTGCATAGGGCACTTACAAACCAGCCCTAGCTCCAGTGTCTAGGATTCACATGAGACATCACCTGAGAGCCTAGTTTGAATCTGTGTGGTGGCCACCTCTGGTTGTCCTTACTATGTATCTTTCTGCATTTCCCTCTGTGTGCTTCTATCAGATATATTGGTGGAAGAAACAGATCTTAAATGGGTGGGGAAATGAACCATTCTGGGACCATGGTGGCTGCTGCTCCTGGGATAGTGCACAACTGTTTGTAACTCCTCTTCCAGATAGTATGATTCCCTCGCCTGGCTTCAGCAGGCACTGGGGACATTCACGTGGTGCACAGACATGCTTTTGGGCAAACATCCACACACATAAAAATAAAATAAGATTATGATTTAAAAGTGTTGTGTTGCATGTCAAGCTGACAAAAGGTGGGGTGTGATGATTGGATTTAACTACCAACTCGACTTAGAACAACCTGGGAAGAGAGTCTCAAGGAGGCATGTGTATACTAGGTTGGCCTGTAGGTATATCTTGTTGGAGGGATGGAGGGTATCTTAATTAAGTAATTCCACTATGGGTGGTGCCATTCCCTGGGCAGGGAATCTTGAACTGTATGATACAAACCAAGGTAATCAAGGTGATGCTCTGTGTGTATGTTTCTCTCTGCTCTTGACTATGGATGCCATATGACCAGCTGCTCTACACTCCTGCTGCTGTGACTTCTGAGTGTTAAACTGCAGCCTGGAACTGTGGTCTGAAATAATCCATTATCTCCCAAATTGTGTGTGTGTGTGTGTGTGTGTGTGTGCGTGTGTGTGTGTGTGTGTGTGAAATGTGAGATAACAGCAGACCTGAAACTGGAGCTCAACCACTCCTGGTTTTGTAACTTTTCAGTAAACATGAAATTCAAAATAAAAAGCTAAAGTAGGCCGGAGAGACTGCTCTGCAGTCAAGAGCAATTGCTGCTCTTGCAAAGAACCTGGATTCTCAGCCCAGAAGCCCCACATCAGGAGTTACACCCCTGTAACTCCAGCCTCAGAGGATCTGCCACCCTCTTCTTGTCTCTGTGAGCACTGTACTCATGAGAACACACACATCATACATACATACACACATACATGCATGCATGCATACACACACAAATGCACACACCATGTACACAGAAATAGTCAAGATCAGAGGTTTTAAAGATATAAAGTAAGCCAGAACCAGCACAGTGATGTGTGCCGTCATAGCCCCCAAGGTGGCTTGCCCCTGCTTCATTGTCAGCAGCTCTGAACAATAAAAACCCTTTCTGGCTTACACCTTTTGATTTCATTATTACAGAAAACCCTATTTATCCAAAACTAATCCAACACCCACATTACTATTAAACCTGAACCCTGCGAGCTTGGTCTGATTGGCTGTCTTGTCTTGTATCTGCTTTAGAATGGCTGACCAGGTTCAACTCTCTTAAGTGAAGGAACCAGGGCTCTCTGTGGCTATATTCCACCCTGCACAGTACTACCTCCTAGTCCCAGGCTCTAAGCCCCCTCTCCTCTGTCTTCCTGAAGACTTGATCATTCAACCAGTGGGAGCATTCTGGTCCTCAGAAGTCCTTCTGCATATGCCCTTCTTGTCTTCATAGTGACAAGACCCTGGGGTGACATTTTTTCTTCATTTGCTGTAGGTCTCTGAACACAGCCGGGACAATTGATGAATGCCAGATTGAAAAGCTGTTGAACTTCTGTGTTGGTACTAGGAGCAGCACAGGACATGACAGGGCTCAGCTAGGGTACTTCCTGCATGGGACTACATAAGCAGTAGCAGGTGGGATGCTGGAGTGCAGGGATGCTGGAGTACAGAGATGCTAGAGTGCAGGAATGCTGGAGTACAGGGATGGTAGAGTACAGGGATGCTGGAGTGTATGGATGCTGGAGTGCAGGGATGGTAGAGTACAGGGATGCTGGAGTGCAGGGATGCTGGAGTGTATGGATGCTGG